AGCTCCCCCCAGAGCAGTTTCAGTAATGTTTTTGTGGACGGCTCAGCGTCAAAAGACATTCACGGTAGAAATTGTGTGGGTTATGCGGTCACAACTGTTGATAAAGTGATAGAAGCAAAAGCTCTCAGCTCCTCAAACTCTGCTCAAAGCGCAGAACTAACCGCAGTCATCAGAGCATGTACTTTGTATAAGGGTCAAAGTGTTAATGTTTACACAGACAGTCAATATGTCTATTCAGCAGTTCATCATTTCGCTAAAATATGGCATAACAGAGGAATGACAACTTCCTCAGGCAACACAGTTCAACATGCAAACCTTCTAAAAAAGCTATTAGAAGTAATAACGTTGCCAAAAGAATTAGCACTATGCAAATGTGCAGCTCATCAAAAGGATGACACAGAAATTACGAGAGGAAATAACTTTGCTGACAAAGCAGCAAAAGCAGCTGCAGAAAAACAAATTGATGTTTTAACAACAGAAACCATAGATCTAATACCTTTAGAAATACTAGCAGATGCACAGAAAACAGCATCGCTGAGTGAACAAAAATCTTGGGTGAAAGATGGAGCAGAATTAAAAGACAACCTCATGATGTGTAATGGCAAACCAGTGCTTCCAAAATCTTTGCATAGAACTGCTGCTTTAGTGACACATGGGAAAACTCATGTGTCATCAGGAGGGATGATTAATATTCTTAATAAACAATTCTATACAAAAAATTTTGAAAGTTCAGCACAAGAGTTTATCAGAACATGTATAATTTGCCAAAGACACAACGCACAGGGAAATCTACGTCCAAAGCGAGGGCATTTCCCTATACCACCGCATCCATTTCACACTGTCCATATGGATTTCATAGAATTAAATGAATCTCAATCCTCCAAGTATGCACTTGTGATAATAGATGTATTTTCCAAGTGGCCAGAAATATATCCAGTGAAAAAAGCAGATGCAATTTCAGTAGCGAAGTGTCTATGTAATCATTTCATTCCGACGTATGGTATTCCATCTCTGATAAGATCAGACAATGGCACACATTTTGTAAATGAAGTAATAAGTAAAGTTTCTGAAGCTTTAGGCTTCAGCATAAAACATCACTGTTCTTATCATCCACAAAGTGCAGGATTAGTCGAGAGAACTAACGGCACAATTAAACAAAGGTTGAGGAAATGTATGGAAGAGACTAAAAAACCTTGGCCTGAATGTCTAAGCTTGGTTAAATTATGGATGAGAATAACTCAAGGAACAGGTGGTCTAACGCCATTTGAAATCGTACATGGCAGACATTTTCCACTCCCCATAATGAGTGAGCCAATTAATAAATCTATTGCAGAAACAACAATGGCAGAATGGATGACAAAACTATTTGAGAATAAAGAAGTGAGATTAAGCAATCAACTGCCGAGTGACTTTTCTTCAGTTTCTTGCAGGTTGAACCCCGGTGATTGGATTCTGATTAAAGTCCTCCAGCGGAAAAACTGGAGTGCTCCAAAGTGGGAAGGTCCCTTCCAGGTGCTACTTACCACACCCACAGCGTGTAAGATAGCCGAACGAGTTTCGTGGATTCATCAATCCCACGTGAAGAAAGTGTTTGCACCACAATAAGACGCCGGTTCCCCTGACTCTTACGTGAACCCCTGCTGGAGGACAGGGCTGAACGGGTTTCCCGCCCTGTGCTTCCTCGGCAGTGCTACTCACGTGGGAGCTCGGGTGTGCCTGGTCGCCCTGAAGATCAGACTGACCTATCCCACCGAAGAGCAGAACCAATAATAACACCAGGGACGCCTGAATAAAATCTCAACAAGATGACTGAGGAAAACAACCTGATAAATCCAGAAGAAGAACCAGCCCCAGAATCAATGCCAGCACCAGCTCCAGCCCCAAAGCTGTGTTTGGGCGCTTGTGACATCAAAGGAAAGCAACTCATGTGCCGCATATTCTGTCTGATGGCCGTCCTCCTGATGACGGCGCTCTTTTGGTTGATGCCCAGCGGTACCCACAGGACAGAACCAACTATTCCCCGACCTAAGAGGTGGACCCACGACAATTCCCACCTCTCTGAGATGACTCAAGACCATGTTCACCGTTGGATGAATAACGCCTGGTATCGATACGTACACAACAGAGTGGAGAAAAAAGAATGTTATGTCTGTTCTCACATGCCTTTAACTTCAGTCTACCCCACCATCTATGGTCGCATGATTAACAGTCACTGGCAAAGTGAATGTGCAGCAAGTTTTGCCAGCATTGGAAGACAACACTTTGCAATCAGCATGAAAGCTTCACTCCCAGGTGCAAAAGGCCTGAAGAATGGAACCTGTGACGACAAATTCTGGGTAGATATGACAGTCAAAAACAGAAATGCTTCTGTCCCTTTCCCTGTTTTTATGTCCCATACAGAGAAGTGGCATCCTCTATGCTTCTACCAAATGGCAGGGCAAGGACGCCACCCCCTGGGCCATACCAGCAACTGCAACGCAACCTATGGAGGAGTAAGGTATGGGATAGTCAACCTATATCAACAGGTAAATGGCACCTATTGGGTACAAGGTATGGCATGGCTGTGCGGACAGCGTGCATACTTTATTCTACCACCTTCCTGGTCAGGATGCTGTGCACCTATCTTCATCTCAGACCACACCTTTAAGATATCAGTGAACAGCAACTCCAGAGCTAAGCGTAGCATAGGTCTCAAGCCCCATGATCCATATCTTGGTTCTGATGTACCCGATGACTTCAAGCTCTGGACCAAGGGCCAGAAGGTAGTACACGCTTTGTTTCCTTGGACAGGAGTAGGAAAGCACGCATTTTAGACTATCGTTTTGGACTGTTTTTAAATGCCTCAACCCACATTAATCAAGGATGGAATTGATGCAATCCGCATCACTGTCATGCAGCACCGAGTGGCTTTAGACATCATTCTCGCAGAGAAAGGAGGTCTCTGCATGTTGTTTAACACTACAATGTTGTACTTACATACCTGACAACATCCATTCATTAAACATGACAAATGCTTTGAATGTTCTGAAACAATTAAGAGACGCTCAGCAGCAGGACTACGTAGCTGTTGCACAAGGCTGGTGGGACTGGCTACTGAGCGGCTCCTGGAAATCCCTACTGATTAAAGGCCTGTTGGCCCTTTTGAGTGTGATGATACTATTTTGCCTTTTCATTGCTTGTATTATTCCATGTCTGAGAAGCATAATGACAAACATGTTCACTCGTATGTTAGGAAACTATGTCTTAGTTCAGAGGAACATGGAAGATCCCTATCGTCAGTATGATGTGCTGAATATGGAGGAAAAAGTGGAAAATCCCTATTATAGTCTTGACAGAGTTGTTGTTTAAATACTTGACTGAATGACATGCAAGTTGAAAATGTGACTAACAAGTGACTATGCATGGATTAAAACTTGTGAAATATATTAACATCAGGAGGGAATGTCAGAGGATTTTTATTTAATACAAATCATTAAGTATAATCAAGTAAAAACAAATATGCTTTATATTCAAATGCAATATAACCAAGTATGCCTTATAACCGAGTGTTCATATATTTTCACATAACCAAGCTTATTGTTAAAAGAGAACACAATGCATTCCTTGCTTAAGTGTTTAAGAGGTTTTGACAAGACATGATATATTTCTGTATCCTTACTTTAAGCGTGAAAGATCAGATAAGCATGATATATTTCTGTATTCTTATTTTAGTGTGTGAAAGATCAGATAAGGTGACTTTATGTCTGAACTTTATGTCTGAACTTTATGTCTGAACTCTCCTCTTTTCTGTTAAAAGAGGAAGTACTGTTACCCGTTTTTTGCCTTATAAATAAAGCATCCAGCATGGGTCTCAGTGTGTGTGATCTTGCTGAGAAGCACACCCATGCATGTTAAACTCTGAGTCGGCCTGCAGTGTCTTATTTCACTTACTTGTGTTTGAAAAAGTGTCTTAACCCCTGACATTTAATTGGTCCTTCGTAGCCGGAGAACTAACTGTTATTTTTAACGTCTAGTTTTCCACAGACGGTTTTCATCGGATTCTGACGTCGTGATCGCCTGCTGGAAAATCTGTGCACAGTAAAACGGAAAAACCGGGACCGTGAATTCGATCTCCGGTCAGCGAGGCCCACGGCGCCAGGACCCGATGTGAGCCGATTTTTCGACGAAAAATACGGAAAATCTCAATAAAAATTATAAGAGCGCGCTCTGTTTGTGTTAAAGAGAAGTGAGTTGTCATTTACGACCCAATACGCGGTCGAACCGCTTCTCTCAAAGTTGTTTTCCTGTGCACACTCACGTACTGGATTAAAAGTGGGACCAAGGTTGTGCGTCATCACGTAAAATCAATGACCGCTCACTCGAGTAGCCAGTGAGTAGAAGCCTGTTATTGATAACCCGCCCACTTTGTCGTACCAGAGACAGTGTCACAGTTCTGACGTAATTAGTTTAAAATGGGTAACTCTAAAACGAAAGTCAAAAGCAGGACAAAGAAGGGACAAGAGAGATATTAAATGCTATAATTGTGGAAAAAACGGGCATTTTGCTCGAGATTGCAGAAGTGTAATTCAGGAGCAGGAAAGTGAGGATGACAGACGTAGGCGACATGATGAATGACTAGCACGAGAGGAAGGAAGTGAAACAGAATAAGCGGAAGTTTACAATATAGAACAACTGCTGCTAGGGTCAGAAGGCAAACCAACAGTTGTAGTATATGTGAAAGGTGTGCCGTTAAAAAATGTTTTGAGACATAGGAGCTTGTAAAACTGTTTTAACTGTAGAAGTCCCAAATGTAACATTCTCAAAAAACACTATAATTGTGAAATCAGCCTCAGGACATGTGACAAAACAGCATCTAACTCCAACAACTCCAACA